CCTTCATGTTTAATGAAAAATATTAAATAGACATGCCATGAAGTTATTTAAAATGCCAAGTTCAGCATAAGTAACAGATGCTACAGCATATTAATTAAAGCCATTTTGGAAGTGATAAAAATATTTTAAATAAATAAACCCAGTATTGGCCTGGCAAAGTGGCAGTGCTGCAGTGTGGTGCAATTAAGTGGGCAACCTTCTGCCTGGGTGCACAGAAGCTCAATGTGCTGCTGAGGGTAGTCTATGGAATGGAAGGGACAGCCACAGATTTTAATACAGCACTCCAGAGCTGCTGAAAGTAACAGCCACAGTCCTTATAGAGTACACAAACCAAATCAGTGAACAGTGATATACACACTTCATTCATACAGGACTGAACAAATTACACTGTGCATGCAAATAACCAAACTATGCATAGGGAGTGTGTTCATATTCTTTCAATTACATAAGGAACCCTATTTGTTTAATCATATTGAGATTTTTAAAGATGTGAAGGGGACTTAAACACCTTGGTTTCCATTAATTGGTTCTCGTACACCTCTCAATAGTTCAATCACAGACATTTTTGTCTGAGAGGGTTGGTAGAGAGAGGAGAGTAATTTATTTTGGGGGTAGAGATCCAGGAGAATTATTTTAATACTGATTATATTATAGGCTGATTATGGTATGCGCTTTTTATGTTGTTACGTAAACAAATGACTCGGGGAGGTGGGGTATAATTCAGACTAGTTAGGGATGTTGTCACCCTCTGCCCTGTACCGGCAGGTATCTCGCAATGTTTGGTTGCTGTAGTTTTGATTATGGGCCACTCACAACCAGCCTATCAGCATGCCTATCAAACCTTGAGCGTCTTCTTGTCCGAAAAGCCTATTCTGATTTTGACAAAATGATTGAGCTGTGTATGGATGCATCAGACACTGGTTTAAAGTTAGTAATAATACACTCGGGGAGAACAAGAAGAAATACTCCATTGTTTCTTGAAGGAAGAAACTGACACTCACTGAACTGAATTATTCTGCCATAGAGAAAGAATATTATGTCATTATGTGGACAGTCAAGCAATTACAACCCTATCCTTTTGAACGGAAAAAATCAAGGTACTCAATTATACATTAGTCAGTTTACACAAAACTAAATGCAATTCCAAGCTACTCTGGTAGAGCTCTAAGAGTACGTCCACACAACAGGGCTAAAGTAAAATTAAGCTACGCAACTTCAGCTACATCAATTGCGTAGCTTAAGTCAAAATAGCTTAACTCTACTTTTGGTGCTGTCTATACAGCAGGAGGTTGAAGGAAGAACATTCTTCCTTCAACTTCCTTTATTCCTTATGAAATGAGGGTTACAGGAGTCAGAGTAAGAAGTCCTTCAACACAACATTATTTTGAAATAACTGCTTATGGTGTAGACGCGCACTACGTAATTTTGGAATAACATCAGTTATTCTGAAATAACACTGCTGTGTAGATGTACCCTAAGACTATGATATGGAGATTATACCTGTAAAAAGGAAAAGTAAATATGGTGGCAGATCCCTTTCCAGGAAAGAAGGTTCTAAGCTGCTGCCTTTGATTCAGCTAGTGGCTAACATTCTAGGGAGTTATAACTGAATGCATCTCCATATTTGCACCCTGCACAAGACAGAAGATAACTTATTGCCTCTATATAAATTTATGGCACACTTGTATCCTGCATACTGTGTGCAGATATGGTCACCATATATCAAAAAATATATTGGAATTGGAAACTGTACAGAAAAAAGATTAAGGAAATGGAACAGCTTCCATATGAGGAGAGAGAAATAAGACTAGGAAAAAGATGACTAAAGGGGGATATGTTAGAGGTCTATAAAATCATGACTGGTATGAAGAAAGTAAAAAAGGAAGTGTTATTTACTCCTCATAACACAAGAACTAGGAGTCAACAAATGAAATTAACAGATACCAGGTTTAAAACAAACAAAAGGAAGCATTTCTTCCCACGATGCAGTCAACTTGTTGAACTCTTTGCCAGAGGACACCGAAAAGGCCAAGACTATAATATGGTCAAAAGTACTAGGTAAATTCATGGAGGGCTGGCCCATCAATAACTATTATCCAGAATGGGGCATAGGTGGCATCCCTAGCCTCTGTTTGACAAAAGTTTGGAATGGGCGATAGGGGATGATGATTATGAAATGCTCTGTTCATTTCCAATGAAGCACACTGCATTAGCTACCATCAGAAGACAAGATGCTGGGCCAGATGGACCTGTGGTCTGATGCACTACGCCTGTTTGTATATTCTTACATACTATTGTAACAATCTTTGTACAAAATATGCCTTGAAAACTAATAACTCACTGGTCAATAATATCAAGGCTATATGTATGTATTGACATTATACATAAAGAGTACATCTACACTGCAATGCTTTTCAAAATAACTAGCGCTATTCCAAAATAACTTAGTCCGTGTCTACACTTCAGGCAGTTATTTCGACATAATGTCAAAATACCGTCAAGCTGGAGTATTTCTTACTCTGACTCCTATAACCCTCAACGTACAAGGAATAAGGAAAGTCAGAGGAAGAGTGCTCTATTTCAAAAGAAGTGCTGCATAGATGCTCCGTATTTCGAAATAAGATACACAATTGACGTAGCTCAATTTGCGTAGATTATTTTGAGTTAAGCCCTGCAGTGTAGACACACCCAAAGTCATAAATTCTTTCCAACTAGCCTTGGCAAAAATTATTAAACAGATCTATCCTAACCAAAGATATTTGTGTTTACCTCAATTTATATCTAAAGAGTGACTATGGTCTCAGACAGCAAGAGACAGAGATGGCAGGAGACAGAACAATTGCATTTCAGCAAACGTAAGTAGAGATAAGACGACTGTGGTGCTTCTTTCACTCTCCCCCCACTCCATCTTATCTTCCTTGCTGCTTCAATTAACTTTACTTGGAGGGGTAACCTTCTGAAGAATCCACTTCACAGGTGCACTGGACTATGAAACAAAGGGGCAGGAATCTTCAAGTTCTGTCTTTCACCCAAGAAGACAAAGACTGCTGCATCTTTGGGAGAAATCCTGACCAAGGAGGGATTCAGTCACTATCTTGCTGGAAGGTTGTGGGGAGAAAGGCCATCTTGAACAAAGCCTTAAACTAAAACTCACTAGATGAAGTTTTAGACAGTTAACTGGCTGCTTTCACTTTAATCTGCTGCTTCCATTTCTAATCTCTCTTATAGCTGAATTCATGTACAATCCTATTTTCTTTTGGCAATAAACTTATTTTAGTTTTCATGTAAGTCAAACCAGTGCTGTGTTGAAAATGAACTGTGTGGTAACTCCAATTTATTTAATACATTTGAATACGTATTTCTCAAATGGCCAATGAGCCTTATTATTTGAACCTGTCCAGAAGAGGACTACTCATTGCAGAAAACAGATGTTTGGAGAAGATTGGGGACTGGGAGTGTGTTGAGGTCACCATGCAATTATTAACCAAGGCTGGTGAAAGTCAGAGTGGAAGTTATGGGCTGTAGACCTACAATTTATTTAATACATTTGAATACGTATTTCTCAAATGGCCAATGAGCCTTATTATTTGAACCTGTCCAGAAGAGGACTACTCATTGCAGAAAACAGATGTTTGGAGAAGATTGGGGACTGGGAGTGTGTTGAGGTCACCATGCAATTATTAACCAAGGCTGGTGAAAGTCAGAGTGGAAGTTATGGGCTGTAGACCTAAAGT